TGTCTTCTTAGACATGTTTTTCTTTTTCAATCCTCACGTCCTACTCTAGTCTCCTTATTCTCAGGTAGTAGTCTTGCCTGTGTACTACTGATTGGATAGATTAAGGCCGTCTACTAATAAAGGACTCTTTTTTTCTCCTTCCCTCACCTTTTTAAGGTTTACATTTTTTTACATTTAAAAAAAAAATCCCTCTGTTCCCCCACCCCCACCCCGTTGTTTATACTCCCTTCGTTTTAGTTTCATCATCTACTTGCCACAGAATCTTGGGATTCTTCAAGGTCCAATCCCTAAGTTCTGTTTCTTTGCTCTGTATTTTCTATGCATTTTTTTCTAAGCCCTAAGTCTAAGTAACCATTGGCATACCATGATAATCAAATTTATGTCTTTAGTTTAGACTTCTTTGACCTGTATATTCAGGTGCCTATTCAGCATCAGCATGTAAATGTCAAGCTCATTATATCCAAACTGAATTCATGATTCTCCCTCAGGACCTGGCCCTTTTCTAGTGATCTCTTTCTCATGATTAGTATCACCCATCATATGCTTGTTACATAAGCCAGAAACTTAGAAGTCCTTCGTAATAAGTCCTTTATTTCTCATCTACCTCCAAAAATCTTTTCCTTTACTACCCTAGGTGAAGATACCACTATATGTTGTTTCTTGGAAACATTTTGCTGGTTCATTAAATCCTTAAATGTGGGAATCACTCTTTATGTCCTGTTACTGTTCTGAAATATGTGAGTTAGTTAGATTGTTTTATTCTTGACCACATACCTTTCTATTATTTTTTTCAATGGGAGGTATTTTCAGTCTCAGTTAAGCGTACAACAGAGACCCGGCAGTCTAAATTGTAGATTTTAGTTGTGACATCAAACAATAATGGCTTACTAATCTTGATTGCTTTCTAATAGAATATTTTGAAAATATTGAAAAGTTTATTGGTTTCAGAAAACTTGAGTGACTTCAGCCATGTATTTAAAATAGTTGCATTAAAACCAGTTTGGATGTCATTTATCATGTCACTTGATTTGCCTACATAACTAAGAATTTTCTAAGCTATAGCTACATTTTGGCCTGGCAAAATTTCAGTGTATCAGAGGATTTCAGAGTGTTTGCAACTGGTAAACAGTGAAATTTGATTGTTGGTTCTTACTGAGCCCACTTCTCCCAGAAGAATTATAATAAACTGCAGAGAAAACTCCTTTTAAAACTTGGTTATAGCAGAAGTTTAAGGAGGTGTTTTCCAACCATATATTCCTTGCATTAGTCAAGTCATACAGGACATTGTGAAATTGAGAAGAGGTAGAAATATAGCCACAAACGCTTCCAGCTGTGAATCTAACTTGGAGACTGTTCTTTGTAGTGATTTTTCTTTTTAAGACCGGTAATTTATTACAGACAAGTGCTGTTGATAGGATTTTCCTTTTTTTTTTTCCTATTTAGAGGTGATTTTGACACATTTCTGTTATTTTGATGGATTGTCATAGGATAACAATTTATGCCCCTTTTTTAGGATATGGTGGTGGTTTTAATGAAAGAGAAAATGTTGAATATATAGAAAGAGAAGAATCTGATGGTGAATATGATGAGGTAAGCTATATGTTAGTGTACGAGTTGAATGCAACTTAGAGAAACATGTTAGAAAATGTCTCAAATGCAAAAGGGAAATACTAAATGTATCTCATTTTTGTAAGTGCACTTTGAGTCTTTTATAGCAGTTTAGCATTTTGTAGGAAATTATGATTAACTTAAATATAATTGACATAAAAATATATTGATCGGAATATGTAAAAGTGACTTTTTAGAAAAATCTTAATGTTGGTGGTTTCAGTTAACAGAAATATTATGAAACTTCTTCTCTAGTTTGGACGTAAAAAGAAAAAATACAGAGGGAAGGCAGTTGGTCCTGCATCTATTTTAAAGGAAGTTGAAGATAAAGAATCTGATGGAGAAGAAGAGGATGAGGATGAAGACCTTTCTAAGTATAAATTAGATGAGGTAATTGATTTCCTTGTTGTATTTTCCCTTTGTCTTATTCGAGCTATGGCATAACATTTGAATGTGTTTGACAGCCTTTGGCCCGTAGTGAGGATATGTTCTCCAGTGTAATCATTTGTTTTCACAAAGATTTTGAAATTCCACTCTGCGAAGCACTATTCTGGCTCTGGAGATATAATAAGGACTGAGATAGAACTAGTCTTCTCTTGATGAAACTTAAATTCTACAAAGGGAGAGACATAAATGGATAAGATAGTTTGGATATTAATACTGTCTTGATACATGTGATAGCAGATCATTAGAAGAGCTACTTTGGTTCCAATGGATGGGAGATTTCTGAGGAAGTGAAATTTGAGCTAAGACTTGAATGAGAAAATGATATGAAGGAGCCTAAGGTCAGAGCACTTTTAGGCAGTGAGAGCAGCAAGTGAAGTTTCCCTAGTAGGAAGCAAGCCAGCAATATTCAAAAAATCGTACATGGGTTAGTGTGGTTAGACCAGAGGAGAGAATGTGACAAAGGGGACAACAGCCACATCAGATCTAGTGGTAACTTATTCCATGGGGCCTGAGTATAAAATTTTATGGATGAGTAGATCCAGATTAAGGGTACTTTGGGGTCTAAACATAGGAGGTCCTCAAATGCAACTAAACAAATGTGGAATGATTTTTATAAACAAACAAATGAGGTATATTATCTAATGTGTTTCAAAAGGATGACTGTTAACATATTGAAATACTGAGGAGACAGTATGGATTCCCAAAGTTAGGGAGACTAGTCTAAAAGATTATGGTAGTGTACCAGAGGAAAGAATGAAGTTCTGAACCTAAGACTTAAGGGAAGTGGTTTCAAGAACTTTTAAAGGAATAAAACTGAAAATTCTTGACAGCTCATTTGGTAATACATTGTGACAGAAAAAAGGGGAAATGAGTATGACAGGTGCCTTTGTTTACTTCTTTGGAATATCTAAGACAGTCATTGAGTCTCTTTAGCTGAGATGAGGAATATTTCAGGATTGAGAATGAATTTGCTGAGATGTTAGTGATATAGCCATATGGAGATGTCCACTACACAGAGCTAGTCATTCCTAGTAGATAGCTTCGATATCTGAATGTTTAAATATAATTGGTCCTGAATTTTTGATAGGATGAGGATGAAGATGATGCTGATCTCTCAAAATATAATCTTGATGCCAGTGAAGAAGAAGATAGTAATAATAAAAAGAAATCTAATAGACGAAGTCGCTCAAAGTCTCGGTCTTCACGATCTTCATCACGCTCATCCTCCCACTCAAGTTCAAGGTCTAGGTCCAGGTAAACGGGTACAGGTCAAGGGTAACACCAGTCAAAATGTCAGTATCTAACTTCTTTATTTATAAATTTTGTTTTTCTTGGCTAAATAAACTTTCCTTTTCTTTTAGAGTTTTCATTCAAGTCACCTCTTAAAAGATAATTTTCTCTATCTTAGTTCGAGGAAGTTATTACTGTCCAGAAATTCAGAAATGCAAAATTTTAATATGAGACTTCCTTAGGCTGTTTAAGCACCATGCCTTTTATTAAAATAGACTTGAACAATTCAATTAAATCGTTATAAATGATACTTAGTTACCCCATCATTATATATAATATTTAGTTACCTTAGAAATTTTTAAGTAAATAAAGTGAAGATTGATTTATATTTCCACTGATGACACTGAAGACTAGTACAGAAATTTTCTAGGCATTAAATTATTGCTTATTACACAGTGCTTTAGTAACTTTGGTATAGATATTCTGAATAAAGGAACTAATTCAGCTGTATTAGTTCTATGGTCTTCATGTTCATACTTTATGGAGCTGTCCAGTAATAAATTAGAGGATTTAATTGGTTTTGTACTTGAATATTATTTTGTTAGGTAAAATTTTAATAAATATTCCTTGATTGTGTAATCAGCAATAAAAATAAAATTTAGGGTGAGAAAAACCAATATAAGCAGTGTTCCCTTGAACTCCTATTCAGTTAAGTGAAACCATGAGCAATGAATTTTAACTGTATTGAAGAATAAAATACTAGCTAATTGAGTACTTAACAGTTAGATAGTTGTTATTGAGTACTATAAAGCCTGGAAGCTTAAAAGTGTGGTTAGAAAGATACTAGTTTTAAGATGAAAATGTAATCTTTTTCTGTTATTATTTTCAGGGACAAATCAAATGTATAAATTAGATTAATAAAATTTATTTCATTTGTTTTTTTTTTTTTGATTCAAATAGACCATATCTCCCCTTGTGTCACTTTTTAGTAATATGATTACCTAAAACAATGGCAGGATTGTTAATGTATTTTTCCTTTAATTCTCTAACCTTTGAGGAGATGGGAAAACATAGAAGTTAAAAACATACACATGTCAACATTTAAGCTTCATACTAGCTAGTGATCAAGGAAATAGAAGGACTTTATAAGGGAAATTGACAGAAATATTTCACAGACGTTAAATATGAATTGCAGCATTCACTATTCCTGGATGTGTAAGTCCCAGAATACTATTAACTATTTGTGAACATTAAGTATTCAATGTTAATTAATGACAACGCTGGATGTTTTTATTTGTATAATCTTGAATGATTTTGAGTGATTTTGTGCAACTTGGAAAGTAATAGTTGATCATTTTCAAAAATTATCTATTAAGTTTTGGCATAAATTTTAAAATGGAACAATAAGTTTAGTTACTTTAAAATATTGTGTTTTGAAGATATATGTGCCAAATAGTTATTATATGAAAATGAATTCTAATGCATATTTTTCTTTCAGTGTTCATATCACAAAGCTCAATAAAGTGGTTCTGGAAAAAAAAATCATTCCATGTGTTCCAGGTCCCGTTCAAGAAGTTCTTCCAGTTCGCAGTCAAGATCTCGTTCCAGTTCCAGAGAACGTTCGAGATCTCGTGGGTCGAAATCAAGGTGAATGAGGTAGCATCTCTCTGTAAAGCAGAGAGAAAAAATATTTAAAGGCTGCAGAAGGTGTTGGCTGCTTTTTTTCTCTTATTTTGCTTCTACTTGTCAATTTTATTTTAGCATTAGAAAACTAATGCACTTGCCTCAGCTTAATTTTCTCACCATGAGACATTTCCATTACAAGCAGTGTGCCAAGACATTCCCATGATTGAATTAAGGTGGTTATTTTGCATTATGCAAGCTTTGCTATATTTGTGCTAAAATGTGATGAATAGGAAGATGGAGCCAAGTCTTATCACCAGATGTCTATTCATTAAAGTTGTATTTGCAATGGTAGTTAAAATTAGAGATACACAAATTAAAAGTTTACTTGGTTTTTCAGACAAAAATAACGCTGCCTCAAAACAGATTTTCTTTTGCAAGACAGTTTCAATATTTACAGAAACAATTTTGTCATTTATATCAGGTGAAGTTTCTGGAGGGCTTTATTTTCATTTCACTGTAATATTACACAGTATTATGCATAGTATGTGTAATATGTAAGAAGTGTAGACACTTCTTAAATTCCACAAACTAAATCAAGAAGTCTGGTTGGTTAGTCTAGGTAGAAGGTGATCTTAAAGTAAACATTCTTGTTAACTTCAGGTAGCATTTAGTCAGACCTACAGAGGCAAAAATAATTTGTAAAGATGCAAATGAGAAACTAGCTTTTAGTCTCAAAGTTTTTTTCTAAACTTAGTCAAAATATGCTGCCTTTCTTTTTAAGTTAATTTATTGATCTATTAAAAGCATGTGTCATAAAAAAGAAAATAACTAAAATTCCACTTGTGTGGAACTTCACGCTGAAGTGTAGTGATAGCTATTTTGGTAAAATGATTGCTTAATCGTTTATTAGCGCCAACTCTAGCATTAGAGGGCAACTGCAATTTAACAACATTAAGGAGAAACAATTGATGTGCACACTTGTATTAAGCCAATACAAAATGAGAGCAAATGAGTTTATTCTTATCATTATTATGTATTATCAATGTTTTAGTTCTTCTGCTTCAGTGCTTCTTAGGTGAAGATTCTTAAATCCTAGTTCCCTTGGGGAAGCACTTTGATTAACATTTACAGAACAGCCTTCATATTCTTTGCAAACATTTTTTTCATTGCTTATAACTTTCCAAAGAATTCTCCTTTTGGGCTTTCTGATTTTATTTTAAGCCCAAAGGTGAATTTTTTGGGAAGTTTGAGCTAAATTACTTCAACCAAAATATGTAAATGAAGAAAAAAATTGTATTTAAACATTTGCACATTACCTCTACCTGAAACATGTGAATGTCAACACTTCATACTTCATGGATAGTGATCTTTCATAAAAATAAATATTGTTAATATAAATTGTTTTAAAAGTTATTCATTTTATTTTTCTTTGAATATTTAGCAGTTTAATAGCTACTGTTCTTTGTCATTTTGTCCCCCTGCTTTTTCTGTAGCAACTTAACTAGTAGTTGCATAGTTCCACAAAGAATTGTTACACTTATTTTCCCCAGGGAGTTGTATGATATAGTTTTTTGACCACATGGAGATGTAGTTTCTAGACACAAAGTCATGCAAATGCCCAGTTACCTGTTGGTTTTGCTATTTATATATACTTTAAAATGAAAGCCTTAAATTAAAAAAAAAATTAAGATTCTCCTTTAATATATTAAGCTGGTTTTTAATTACAAGTAATGAGCACTTAGAATCTTTAAAGGTGATGAAATCAAAGTAAATGTATTTAAATAGAGTTGAGTTCATGGTTGAACCAGAAGTCTTCTGTTGAATAAGCTGTAAGTATTCTTTCTTACAAAATTTTTATAGTTATAAATTCTTATTTGTTTATTTTTGGAGCTATTAACTAAACTATTTACCTCATTTCTTCTTTTAATGAAATGTTTGATTTGTTTCTCAATCAATGAAGATCCAGCTCCAGGTCCCACAGGGGCTCTTCTTCCCCACGAAAAAGATCTTATTCAAGTTCATCATCATCTCCTGAGAGGAACAGAAAGAGAAGTCGTTCTAGATCTTCATCTGGTGATCGCAAAAAAAGACGAACAAGATCACGGTCACCCGAAAGGTTTGGGTTTCTGTAGAAATAAGAATGGGTGTTCTTAAGTGTGTTTAATAGATTAAGTAACTTCTTGGTCAAGGATTAGGTTTTCATTGTCTCCTTTGTTCCCACTTTAAATTATTCTTTTCAACTTTGAACTTCAAAAAACAGATTACTTTGTTTATCCTGTGTGATTTGACCAAGTTGTTCAGAAAAGTTGTAGAGCAAAACACTCTCTTCTGCTATCTGATTATTTTATTGTTTAGATTTTTATTTTTATATATAATTATAGCCAACTCTCGGTTATTTTGTCTTTTAAGATTTTAATTCAGAAGCTGTGTGATGATGTAATTTAGAGGTTGATTTTTATAGGTATTTATGCTATTGATTTTACATTAAATTTAGAAAATGTAGAATTCTAGGGCATTTAGTAAGAAAATTAACTACTATAGATCATTGGAAATCTGTCCTCATTTAAATATGTGTAAATACATTTCTACAGCAAATTATTGTTTCATGCCCTTTGTCTATAAGGAAATTGTTCTTGTAGCTAATAGATTTTTCATCTTACAATCTGAATCCATTTTTTGTAGAGAAAGAACTTTACTAGATTATTTTATCTATGTTTACATTTTTAAACTTTGGAGAGTGTGTCATCCATCTTTCAGCCTTTTCTGCAGCAGACTAATTATTCTTTATCTCTCTCTTGGTTCTTAATGTCTAATTATATAGTCATTTTAATGGCTTCCTTAATAATCTTTGCAAATTCTTTATATCCTTTCAGCTTGTGAAAGTAAAGATTAGATAAAACCTGATTTTTTGGTGCATTCACTGGTAGGATTACCTCTACTTGTACATAAGGATTGGTTTTGCTTCTTCCCATTTTGAAGTTTAGATATTAAGGTTACACACAACTAGTCTAGTTTCTGTGCATTTGTTCCTTTGTGAGAAAACTACTCTGTACTTGAATGAAATTCATTCTGTTACTTTTTTGCCACTTCTGCACATTTTTATCTTAGCCACATATAATCCCCCTAGTTTGTTGTCATCTAAACTTAATGAACATGTTCTCTATTCCATAAGCCAGGTGATTGGTGAAAACACTAAACAACCCTGAGCCCAGGGCCAGCCCCTCGGAACACCACTACTTTACCCAGGTTGATATATTGACTTATTCATATTAGCTGCATGAATATAATCCTGTAACTAATTGTACAATCATCTTATGTGACCTAGATTTCCAAAACATGATTATTTATGGATATATATTTGCATATACAGTCAGAAGCCTTGCTGTACCTGTTTCACATGTAGACTTACCAGACTGTCTACAGTGTATCACAGAATGACTTGGTCACATTGTCATTACCAAGTTTAAATGCCTTTGTTGTATATTAATCTAATTTTATATAATTTTGCAAGGCCTTCCTTTATTACCTTAAATAATTGAGAGGTGGCTATATCTTGAGGTATTTTTAAATTATAGAGAATTTTTAATTATGGTTACACTACTACTGGGCTCATATCCTAGGTCTAAGTACTAGTTAATTGTATGTATTTAAGTTTATATCCTAGATTTTAATTATTCATTTTGTCAGTGTAATGAGGTCTAATTTTTTTTATATTCTCGAAGTCTTATGATTGAGTGCTGATTTGAGCTCCAGCTCACTAGATTACCTGCTTTCTCCATTATGTCTTACAGGCACCACAGGTCATCTTCTGGATCATCCCATTCTGGTTCCCGTTCAAGTTCAAAAAAGAAATAATGTATTAAAATTTACATCTTAAAAAAAAAAGTCCAGTACAATGCATGAAGCATATTTTTTTAAGAAGTTAGTGTCTTACTTGGTCAGAAGTGCTAAATCTGCTAGTAGAGGTGCATGCCTTTCATTGCTTTTCAGAACAATACAGCTGTGTTTATTTGTGAAATTAAAAGTAAATAGTATTTTAAGCCATAATGTCCCAAAATAGATGGCTCTGATTATCATTCATTATTTACAACCATTTGCTTCATTTGAAACCATCTCAGCTACAGCAAAGTACTATGTTTTCTAATTTGAACTCTTGTTTTTCTCATCTCCAAATATGAACTGTCTGTTGACTTGAGACAGCATTACCTAGGCTTGTCTGGACTTTGAGCGTGGAGGCAAGACTGTGGTAAAGTAGTTGGAAACAATCTGTTTAAGTTAATCTGGGGAGAGCAGTCAATCTACTTATGTTAACCTATGTCAAAGTAAATCTTAACAGAAAAATTTAACGAGTTGTAAAACAGTCAACTGGAAATTTCTTTATTTTGAAATTCCCTAATTTAAGGGTGCCTTAGAATCATTGTCTCTGTTTTTTCCGCTTTTATAAGTTTAATACTGAAAAATTTGTGAATTGCAAAGGAAAAGGGTGTTATTTCTCCCTTTCTATTTGCAGCAAGAATGCCTAATAGTGTATCTCTTCTCTACTATGGCTGATGAGAAAAACATCTTATTTTAAAATGTTTATTCTAACATTTTAAGAAGCTCTGTGTGATACCCTTTAAAAATCCCGTTATCGCATATGATAGGGTAAGCAGAGATTAAACCATGGTTAATGAAGAACCAATTGAAGAAAGCTTTTGAATTATATTTCTCTTTGGGTGAAGACCAACAGAGACATTGTGAATTTAAGTACACATATGCTTTGAAATGTTTAACTTTAAACATGCTGCATAAAGTTTTCTTCTGAGTAAAGGATGCTTATTTTCTCATGACATAAGCAGAAATAATTGTTCCTATTCCCTTGAAATTACTTATGGCTTAAAATACTTTCAGGGTTTGTTTTATTTCTCAAAATTAAAATCTGGTCATTTGAGCTCTATTTTGTCTTCTGGTTTAAAGAAAAAAGATTTCTCTTAACAGTATCTTCAGTGACAATGCAAGGTAAGTATATTAAGGGAAATCGACAGCTGTGCTTGGGAACATTTTGTCATGGGGATCGATACCCACTTTTTCTTGTTTTGGTTTGTTTCTCCTTAACTTACTGCAATTAAAAATTAAAATGTTTTAAGATATTTAGTAGGCAGACCAAAATTATATTTGTTTTTTATTTTAAAATGAGTGATTTTTCTCTTCAGCTGATCTAAAGATAAAAGCAAAATAGCTTACGTAGAAATATTTTGATAATATTTTTACAATGAACTTCCCCTTGTTTTTTTATGTCTTAATTTTCTTTGCTACATTTACTGTAGGTTGCACAAGAACTTTTACTCTTGTAATTGTGCCTCAGACTTCTTGAAAGTCCACCTTCTAAATTGCCCAGATGGTCTTCTAGATTCTACATGTTGCCGTTGGTTTATTCTTGTGCTTTCTGTATTTAAAACTTTGGCTGTGCTAATAAGAAAATGCAAGAATTTAGCTAATAGTAGTTTACAGACAATTGGAATGATTATGATTTTATTTGGTTTAACTAAGCTGTGCTAGTTCATTTCATAAGGAAATGATGCTGTAGACAAATGTAAATAAAGCTTGTGAGTCAAGCATCAAGTTGTGTTTGTTAGAAATAAATTAGAATTTTTAAGCTGTGATTTAATGTTCATTTTTAAGCTATTTAAGTCTGGTTTGTTACTTTGGGTTGTGCATTTTAAACTCCCTATATTCACTTATCCTTTGTGTAATGTCACCGTATTTTTGTGTATGAATGCTTGGTTTAAAACATTCCAAAGCTACGATCACTATATAACGTTGGGTACTTAACAATTTTTGTGACTTTTTTTTTTAACAGTAGCCAAATTAGTTGAAGACTTTATGCCAGAATATTAAATACCTCATTCCATGTGGTAAAATAGTGCACCACTGTGTGCTTCCTGAATTATTCTGTCACGTAAGCATCCAACAACTATCCCTCTTAACTGCTAAGTGTTCTTAATTTTCCATTCAGAATCCTTTTATCCAAACAGTATTAAATGGTGTCTGGTAACAAATGCCCGAATTCAGAGCAAGCTCTAAGCATAAGACTATCTCTAGGCACAAGGTAAATTAGTCTTTGTTTTCTTTCTCATCTCTTGGTATTTGGCATCCACAACCAGTGTTGTAGCTACTGGTAAAAAGGTAGAGAATTTCTACCTTCTGACCCCTGTTTTTGACATAATTGTTAGGGGTGTTTGTTTTTTGTTTGTTTTTGTTTGTTTTTAATAGAAATAACCTTATAGCTTTCCTGAGCTGGAAATAGTTTTATTTCTGGAAAACAGAGTGGATAGTTTTAACTAAAAGACAGTTTAAGGTATGTAACAGTGATTTGCAGGCATTATGTAATTCTCCTTGTCACCTTTACATACTACTGTTTTTCCTTGTTTTACAAAAAAGGAAGGTTACAACTTAAGGAAATTAAAAACTTCTCAAGGGAGTCACAGAAGTGGCTGAATGGGGATTTGCCCCTAAGTCTGACGGCAGAGTTAGTGTTCCCTCTGATAACCTTACCAAATAATCTGAGAAGGTAAATGTTAAGCCAAACTGGTCAGATTTTTTTTTAATGATTTGGTAAACTGGTGTTAATTTCAATCATTTATAGGTAGGTAGACAGATGGTAGACAGACATACTATTTTGAAGTAACTTTAGATTTACAGAAAAGGTTTCAAAGATAGTATACAGAGTTCCCATATACCTCCATTCAGTTTCAACCATTGTTAGCATATTGCCATGTAATTTTATTAAAACTAAGAAACCAGCATTGGCATATTACTATTACACTCCAGAGTTTATTTGAATTTAACAATTTTTTCATTAGTCTATTCCAGGGTACCACATTACACTTTGTCATATTTCTCCAGTCTCCTCTGGTCTGAGTTTCTCATTCTTTCTTTGCTTTTGATAACTTAACAGTCTAGAGGAGTACCGGCAGGGTATACTTTAGAATGTCTCTCACCCTGAGTTTGCCTGGTTTTTCTTGTGATTAGACTGGGGTTTGGGTTTTTGGAGCAAATACCCTAGAGGTAAACAGCCGTTCCCTCACACCATGTCAGGGGTACATGATACCCATATGACATCACTGGGAATGTTAACCTTAATCATTTGATTAAGGTAGGAATTACCTTAAATCACCATTGTAGTTCGTGTTTTTTTGTTTGTTTGTTTTTCTTAATCGACTCCATTCTTTGGAATCAAGTTACTAAGTATAGCCCACCTTCAGGGTAGGGACAGGGATAATTAACCTCACATCCTAGAGGTAAGGGGCGGAGGCTACCTGAATTCTTATCTTAGAAAGGTTTGTCTCTTATTTATTTATATTTGTGTGGTGGGCTTCCTGAATATACTTTAAGTCATAGTTCAACGCTTTGTGTTTTGGTTTTTTTGCTCAGATTTTTCCGGCTTTGGCCACTGAGAGTCACTTCACGCTGGCTCTTGTGCCCTTTGACATGCTTCCGTTCTTTTTTTTTTCTTTCTCCTTTTAGTATCTTTAATAAAAACCAGGTCCAAGCAGAATGGCAAAAATCTACACATTATTTTGTAATTGACATGCTTCTGTTCTTAAGCTGAATGGAAGGTAGATGATGGAGAAAGGGGAGGAAGAATTGTTGGGAGAGGGAGGTATATCATCAGGTAGGTGAGGGAATAGAATCTGGGCCTTGGTGGTGGTGCTGATGGGAGGATCTTCAGCCTTAAATTGGAGCCTTGACAGTTAATTATAGTATCAGGAAGGATGAATCCAGGTGTTGTTAGAGTCAAGTTTATAGTCACTGAGTTAACAGTAAACACACTTTTTCCAGTCACACCGAACCAAATGGATTCTTACAGGAGGATAAAGGGTGTTGTAACATTGCACAGAGATAACAAGAGATAAACATGTAGTAACTAACAGTTCCCAAGTGTCTGTATTTAGCAAAATAAAAGGTAACATCATAAGAAAAGTAATAAGTGGGCAACTTCTTAAGTACATTGATGAGTGATTAAATTGTATGTAAGAAAAATGCCATATAGCATTATTCAGGGAAAGGAGAAGACCTGGATATGAAGCTAAAATAAATATGTAGGACAGCCCCTTTCCCAAAACCTCAGCCTGGTGGGAATACTCTTAGACTTCACGGTAGAAATCTGTGAAAGTGGGAAGAAAATCAGTCTTGTCTGAATGAAAAGGCAAAACTCTTAAGGAATTAACTTGAGCAGTCTTGAAAGACAAGTTTATTGATGAATAAGGTGAGTTAATTTGTGAAGCCTCAAGATTTGGTTATGTTTTTAGTGGATCAGAAATAATGTGCTGGTGAGATACCTTGGGGAAAGAAGGAACCTCATAATAATGCTGTCAGAAGTAAAGTGGACCACACTGAACACTGCCTGAAAACACTGAGTTACAAACCTTAGTGTTCCTCACACTGAAGATGAAGAAAATTCACCTGATTGTGAAAGACTGTTTAGTAATTGAATTTTCAATTTAAGCTTCAATAAATGATTGGTTGAATGAAAAAAAAAATTTAGAAAGCAAAAAAGAGAGAGAGATCTTAGTGTTGCACTCAGAACAAAAAGTTTTGTACCTACCTCCAAAATGAAACTCCTGTAACCTGTTATCCATGCCATCATCAAAGGCTGAGTACCCCCAGCTTGAATGTAACATGAAGTAAAATTTGGTTTAATGGGTGTGATCCTAGTGGTAGATTTGTCCGTGATACTTGATTCTTATCTATGTTCTGGAGTCAAAGCCAGATTTGAATTTTTACTTCATGGCACCTGCATGATCTTGGACATATTCTTTATGCCTTGCACACAAGTAAGTATACAGCAAATGTTGGCTGTTAATTTTACCCTCCACCTATGTCTTCAAATATTTCATGTATACTAATCCTTAAATGTGTATACCCTCTTTTCTATAGCACCAGATCTGTTTCTCTACCTACTTGTATATCTCCTTTTAATTTCACTGTATCTAAATTCTCCCCAGACTAGTCCATCAAAACTCGTGTATTTCACATTGATAAATGGCATTATCAGTAACATGGGAATCCTCTTAGATTTCTCGTTTGCCTCCCCACTCCAAACCAAATTGGATTTACCTAGAACAATTCTTAGCCTTCCAACCCACACTGCTCCACTACTCTTGCCACTGCTTTGGTTTACGGGCTAAGATGTTGCCTCCTAAACAGCCTTCTGGCCTCCAGTCCTGTTTGGCATTTAGTGGGTTTTCCAGAGCATTTGCTGAATGATCCTGTTATTCCTAGTATGTCTCTGCAAAAGTATTAACTAATTGGTTAATTAGGTTAATTAGGAATTGATAACGAGTACCTTTAGAGTGTATGATTCTTAAACTAAGTGCAGTGGGGTGCATCATTTGCAAAATAAGCAATAAGTTTAAAAATTAGCCTTACTCTTCCGGTGTAGGAGCAAGTAATATTGAGTTCAAAATAGTTCAGTGTGTATTAAAATGCCATCTTACAAATTTACTTAGGCCTTTAGAACAGTAAGCATATGATGTACTAGTTAAACCATATTTAATAAGTATGGTTGTTTTAAGGCCTTAAAAGCTTTTAATAGAAGAAAATAGCATAGAATATTGATAACTGTACCAGTGAAGTTTATTGGCAAAAATGATTTGTACATTTATTAGAAAAAGTGTGTAACTTACGAGTTATTTCTTTGCTCATTGAAATGAAAACCTATAGAATGGAACTGTTTTGGATGAAACAAGTCTGATGTTTTCATTATATTAATCCTCTTAGTGACTTTACCTCTTTCACTTAATAAATACTTCACATCAGAATTCCGAGCAGGGAAGATAAATCTGCCTTCTTGTAATTTGAAAAATGGCTGTTAGAGCTTAAGAATGTTGATGTGAAAACTAGAGACCATGATTAGAGAATATGAAATACTTGCCCCTTTGTAAATGGTGTGATTGGAATTACAAAATTGCATTGCCCTATGTTACACTGTTATTAATACATTGGAATCACCAAAAAGGAAGTCAAAAAGTGTTTAGTTCATTCTCTACTAGAAAAAAAAAAAAGACCACATAAATGCTTCTCCGGCTACATACTCAGTGCTGTAGCACTTGTACTAAATCCTAGGATGGAAAATGCACTGAGAGAAGATTGGGACATTTCACTTGTAGTTATTTCAGTGTTTTCCCCAGTTAATAAGAAAATGAGTTTAAATCCTTTTAAGTCCTTGAGTTTAAATTCTTCTCACCAAGTATTCCATATCAAGATCTAAACAGAAATGAAGAAAATCAGAGCAAAACTGTTCTTAATCAAATTGCTTAAAGCCTGTGATGAAGAAAAAAAGACAGCCAGAGAAAAAGACGTTTATACAGAAACAATGGTAAGAATGATGGCTAGCATTGTCAGAAGCAATGCAAACTGGAGGGTCGTGCAGTATCTTTAAAAGTACTGAAAATCACTATCAGCCTATTCTATATTTACTCTTTCAAAAATATAAAGATAACCAACTTTTCAGCTACTCAAAAGCTGATGAAATTCACAACATACCTAATTAAAAAGTATTAAAAGATTTTTTGGTGGAAGAAAACATGAAAATTGGGTCTACACTAATAGCACAGAAAGTGCTACATGGCTAAATCGTTTTTTTCTTACTAATTTAATC